TTTGGGTTGCTTCCACAATTTAGCAATTACAAATTGTACAGCTACAAACATGGGTGCACATATATCACTGTGATATAATGTTTTAGATCCTCTGGGGAAATACCCAGAAGGGGAATAGCTGGGTTGAACGGGACCTCTAGATCTAGTTTGCTGAGGAATCTCCAAACTGATTTCCACAGTGGTTTCACCAGTCTGCATTCCCACCAGCAGTGGAGAAGAGTTCCTATTTCTCCATAGCCTCACCAGTAAAGTGATAGAAGTCAATAGTACAACTATTGTTATTGGTTGATTTCTTAATGCTAGCCATTCTTACTGGGCTGAGATGAAATCTCAATATTGTTTTAATTTGCATTTCTTGAATGACCAATGATGTCGAACATTTTCTTATGTATTTATTTGCCGTTTGTATTTCTTTATCTGAGAAGTGTGTGTTCATTTCAGATGCCCATTTTTGGATTGGATATTTGAATTTGGGAGGACTGATGTTTTTTAACTCTTTATATGTTCTAGATAGAAGACCTTTGTCCGAGGGACAGTCAGCTAAATTTTGTTTCCCAATTTGTGGGTTTTCTTTTTACTCTGCTGGTTATTTCTTTAGATGTGCAGAAACTTTTCAGTAGGATGAGATCACAGTTGTTGATTCTTTGAAATATTTCACAGGCAGTTTGGTTTTTGTTCATGAACTCTCTGCCTACCCCTGTGTCTTCAAGGTTTTTCTCCTACTTTCTCTTTCAGCCGATTTAGTGTTTCTGTTTTAATATTGAGATCTGTGATCCATTTTGACTTGAGTTTGGTGCATGCTGATAACTTGGGTCTATTTTCAGTCTTTGGCAGGTGACAAGCCAATTTTTCCAGCACCATTTATTAAAGATGCTATCATTCTTCCAGTGAGTTTGTTTGGTCTGTTTATCAAAGACTAGGTTGCTGAGTGTGTTTGTAGTTGTGTCTGTGTCATCCAGTCTGTTCCATTGATCTTCTGGTCTGTTTTTTAGCCAGTACCATGTTGATTTTATTACAGTGGCTTTGTAGTATAATTTCAGGCCAGGGATTGTAATTCCACCTGACTTGTCCTTGTTGCCCAGGATTGCTTTTGCTATTCTGGATCTCTTCTGCTTCCAGATGAATTTAAGGAATGTTTTCTTTAGATCTGTGAGGAATTCTAATGGTAGGTTAATGGGAATTGCATTGAATCTGTACAACGATTTTGGTAGTATGGCCATTTTCACAATGTTGGTTCTTTCTATCCATGAGCAAGGAATGTTTTTCCATTTATTGAAGTCCTCTTTGATTTCTTTTTTCAGAGTACTATAGTTGTCATTGAATAGAACTTTTACTTCTTTTGTTAGACTGATTCCTAAATATTTCAATTTCTTGGATGCTATTGTGAAAGGTGTGGTTGCCTTAATTTCTCAACAGAGTGTTGTTTTAACAAAGAATATCAGATCAAATCATTCCCCCTTCTCAAAACTCTTCAATAGATTTTATTCCTGTGTTATGAAAGTTATATCCTAATGTATCATCATGGCCCATCTAGTTCTTCTGACCCAGGTTCTGCTGGTCTCTCCTACTTCATCATTTTGATTCGTTAGCCCATTCACTCCAACTGTGACTATACTGGCTTCCTAAATGGACCATTATGAGCTTTCAGTGACGACTTCCCGTGATTAGAATCCTCTCCTTCTTTTGTGTCTAATTCATAGGTAGCTTTACCATAAAGGCCAGGCCACCTCCAACCATACTAAGATGCCCTCACCTCTCCATTTCCCTGCTTTAACTTTATAGCACCTATCACCACCTGATATTAAGTCATATGTTAACACTTTATTTTCTTCTGCTACAAATAAGTTTCATGAGGACTATACCACTATCACTTACTTAGACCAACAGCAGGGATTTGAAGGTCAGTCAGTAAATATTTACTGCATGAACAAGTGGATGATACATTTGGATATAATTTTCATGGCACAGCAATAAAATCCATTGGAAAGTTTTGAGAAGGAGGAATGATTTGATCTGATATTCTTTGTTAAGATCTACTTTGTTTACCCTTCGACGAACACAATGTCAAAGCAGAGGGGTCAGTGCCAGTTGTGAGACTGCTGTGGACGTGTGCTGCGGTTTGCATATGTGGTGTCCCCCAATGCTTCAACTTTTAGAGACAGTTGACTGAACAATGGTTCAGTCACTGGAGCTGGAATGAAAGAGTTTGGCAGGACATTTGGGTCTGCTTTTGGTGTTTGGCATAGTAAACAGAGCATTAGCTGACAGTGACCAGTGTTGATCCTGGGCCTGTAAAGCTGGCCACTTGCTTTCATGTATTTCCGTGTACTATCTTAGCATCAACACACAGATGGTTCAGTTGTGATTTAGGTCCTACATTCCCTAAAGGCTCATGTGTTAAAACTTGGTTACCAGCTTGTAGCACTGTTGGGAGGTGGTAGAACCTTTAGAAGTGGGGCCCAGTGGAAGAAAGTTTGGTCATGGTCAGGGGTGTGTCTTTGAAGGGGGTGTTGGGACCTTGGCTCCTTCTTCTCTCTTTTTGGTGTTTGGCCACCGTGAGGTGAACAGTCTTTCTCATAAGGTACTTCGCTGCCACAGGCCCAAGGCAAGAGAGATGAGCAACCATGGGATGAAACCTCTGAAACCATATGTCAAAAAGAGCCATTCGTCCTTGTAAGCTGATCGTCTCAGGTATTTTTTGCACAGCAATGGAAAGCTGAGGAACACTGTCTAACATTTTAATCCTCTTGCAGGCTGACACTTCCAATAAGAACTCAGAACCAGTGGTTATGGCATCGTCTTACAAAAGCATTCTCAAAAAAGTCAATTAGATTCATTAATTTCAATATTTAGTTCTTGTTAATAGTTTATTGCAAATAATTCAGACTTATTTTCTTCAAAATTCAAAACAGTGTTCTTACAATTTCCAAGATCACTAATAATTTCTTTGAACTATTACCCCAGCCATTTAAAAAGTTTGCTTTCAGGGACAAATTGAACCTTACAAGAGATTTTCAACCATTCCCCCAGGATCCTCACAGAACCTTGTTACAATATGGGCTACCTGGTGTCCTCTTTCCACTCAATGTCATAACAGCTGTGGTGATTCCAGGGCATCTGAAAATCCTGCAGTCTGATAAGATCTCTGCCCCCTCACACCAAAGGTTTTGATGACCTGGAATCACTGCCAAGATCACAGTCTCTGGTCTGCCTTAATTCCTGTGGGTCTTGGGTCACTCAGGAAAGGAAATCTGTTGTTGGCTCAGGTATGGGTGCTCCATGCCAACACTGTAGCCCTTTAATGATACAAATCTTTTGGTATAAATCCATGTAAAGATGGTCATTTCAACCAAGCCCATCAGAGCCAGGGCACTTATCCACAAGAACTTTCTAGAGAGTCCTGAGGAACCAGGCCTCTTCCTTGACCTATGCATCTTGGGGTCAACAGTAGATGTCCTTTGCTGTGGGAGGAAGAATTTGCCCCTTGTTATATAATCACCAGTTGTTTTCAAGTAGTATGAAGTGAGCTAAAAGAACAAGGTGACAAAAAGTATAGAATGCCTCTACTTATTTAAAGTCAAGCTCAAACTTGTTTTTCTAACTGTAAGGTAAAGAGGCAAAGAGCAAAATTTAATTAATAAGTCTGACTTGTTCTTTTGGAAAACAAGTCCATCAAAATGTAGGTGGTTTTCAACCTTTTAAATTATGTGCTAATCATCATAGTTGTTAAGAGGCTAGGGGGATAGGATTTCTTGGCAATAGTTTCCTACCAAGAAGTGAGGTGATATAGAGATTCTTCCCAGGAGAGGCATGAGTCTGCTAAAAAGCCAAGGAAAAGCTAATATCGTAAAATGACTTTGTGAAGGAGTCTGTGCTATTAAATGATGCACTGCACTTCGTCCCTGCCTTCGGAACCTGTTATAAGCCTTTCCTACCCACTTGCTGTGAAATCTTTATTCTGTTCCTTTCAGCTCAGCATAGTCAATGTTTTTGGGAGACAGAACCACAATTTAAGGGTGGAGGAGACTGATGTTAACAGATTTTATGGTGGCTCAGTTACGGTGCAAGCTCTTAAAACCACTCAGGCTGTTTCCTTTGGAACTCTACCAGGATGAATGCCTGGTATTTAATTATTTACAAAGTACTTGGCCATTACTTCTTATTTGTTTTTCTTCACAGTACCCTCATATTGATAACTGCAGATGGGATAATGTTTGAGAGAAATTTTAAAGTACTTAAAGTCAGATGATATTATTGTACCATTGTATTATACCTCTATTCTTTTCTGTGTACCTTTAGAGCTATTAATTTTCCCAGAGAGCAATGGTTGGAAGGCAAATCATAACTGAGGCATACTGTTTCAGAGAAATAGTCAAGAAATGGAGAACAGAGGCTTCTCTCTAAAACTGCTTTCTGACAACAATGTCCATGATAAAAGAAAATTAAGCAATCTCATAGGGTCTCCATTTTCTCTGAGCTTTTGTGTGTGTTTGCACCCATAAGCATGTACACATGTGCATGCACGTGCAGGCACACACACACACACACACACACACACACACACACACCCCTCCATTAGTCTGTAGTCTATGGAGGAAGGAGGAAGAGTGTCTGGAAGTTTTTGCCATTGTAGCAATCTCTGCTGATGTTAACCGAGTTGCCACTCATGGCCTATTGGAAACTTCATCATTAATTTCCTTGACAGTCACTAACCAGCTCATTCCCTACAGACCAAGGTTTTCAGAAATCATCTCTCTGCTGTCACCTGTTCCACGGATCCACATAGACACTAATTAATGTAATTGGTGGCTGCCAGCTTATTCTCCCTGTGCTAATGCTCTCACCATGCACCTGCAGCCGAGCCCTGTGGTCTGTGGCTTCCTGGCACACCTCCCCAGGCAGTGACTGCTAGTTAAACTGCCAGAGTGCTCTGGGCTCTGTTGTTTAATATTTCACAGCCTCTGCTCCACGTGACTTATTCCATAACAGGCAGCCCGAGTATTCTCATGCCTGTTTCTCTGTGCATATTCAAGGCCATCCAAGGACGTGTGCAAGGTGTTCTTCTGGGCCTGTGCAAGCAATGCCCTATGGAACCAGAAAAGGAGAAACTGCTGCTACCTGGAGCCAACCCCTGACCTGCATTTAGCTGTGCGGTAGCACCTCTAATGACGAAGGAGTGCCGAAGCGGTACGGGGAGCTTCGTTCCTCAAGCATTCCAGCGAGAGAGACCTTCAACTCCCAAGTAGGTGGAAGGGACAAGAAAGAGATATTGTGATTTATGAGGGGGGATAAGCACAGAAAGAACACTTCACTTTTAGCCCATGTGAGAGCAGATGCTGGACCTCTGTGTGCTCATCAGTGAGGACTTTCTCTCTGGATCCTTTGTGCTTGATATCAAGTAAAAGATCTTAGGGTCTGCAGGGGTAAATCTGCTTCATGAACATCAAAGACAGGTAATAAGTTATCAAGGCCTCTTGGTTGGGACACTGCTGTTAGCCCTGTGGTTCATTTTAGTGAGTTGGAAACAGTGACCCTCCCTCAAGGCTCTTTGCTGCCACCTGTTAGATTGTTGTAGTAAACATGCACATGCAGTGACAAGGCTGTGAATGGTGCCTGTGAGAATTGTGCAGTGTGGTTGGAAGAGGTGGAAGAGTGGAAGATGGTGAGGTATGATTTCAGTGAGTTCAGGAGACCACACAATGTGGCAGAGCTGGTATCTTAGTTACTTTTCTCTCATTGCTGTGACAAAATACCCAACACCCACAAGTTAAGGGAGGAAAGGTCTATTTAGTTCAGTTTTTGGGGTTTCAGTCCATAACTGACTGGCTCCAAGGCAGGGTGTCATCACAGAGAAGAACAGTTCATGATAGCAGAAGGTAGCAAAAACAACAAGGGTGGAAAAAGACAAGGCTCTTTCTGTCCCTTATACTGTATCCAGGATACTGGGATTAGGCCAGTAATAAACCAATCAGGGTGCTGATTTGGTAATCACCCACCCTTAGTCCTGGTATTTCATCACAAGTCTATCACACACTCAAGATTCAGCCACCTCTGAAAAAGCCCAACCTATGACTGCATGAGGCTTTGGAGGAACATCTAGACACAAACCACAGCATTCTGATCCCCTAAAGACACATGCACATTCCTTTATGCAAAAGACATTTAGTCCATCTCCAAGAGTTACCAAAGTCCTAACAGTTTCAGCACTGCTGGAAAGTCTAAATCCAAAGTCTCCTCGGAGAGTTACAGCAAATTCTTATCTGCAAGCCCCTGAACAATGAAAAGAAAGTTAAACACTTCCAACATTCAATGACATAAGATAGAGATTACAATTCCAAAAATTATAAATAGGGGAGTACAAAGGAATAGGACCAAAGCAAGTCCCAAATCCAACAGTGCAAACAGTAAGTCCTGCAGTTCTATGTCCAGCACTGGAGACAATCTGTATCAAGAAGTAAACTCCAAGTGGCTTGGGTGGCTCCACCTCTACAGCACTTCTGGTGGTTTAGCTCCCATGGCTTCTCTCTTGGCTTTGCTCTACTCCCCCGTTTCAGTTTTCTTCAAATGATCCATGTTCCTGGCTTCTCCAAACTTCTAGGGCCTTCAGTGCACCTTTGGCTTCACACTTACAGCTTTACACACCGCCTTCTCAGGAGCACACTGCCTGGCCTCCCTGAAATCTGGGTGGAAGCCCTCCTCAATTCACAACTCTTGCATTCTTCATGTACCTAAAAACAGTGCCACGTGGATGATGCCAAGATCTACCGCTAGCTGGAGCAGTAGCCAGGCTTCCCTTTCTCTTGGCTGTAGGGGCCTACTACCTGAATAGCTGAACACTCTGAACACAATCCTGAGGAACAAATTTTCTAGGCTGCTGCCATTCTGGAACATGATGCTCTCTTCTCACAGCAAAATCTTTCACCTTTGCAACTCAGAGACCATAAAGGCTAGAATCTTGCTGGTTCTTGTGATGTCCTCATGCTATCTATTCTGTTTGGCTTTTTTTTTTTTTTTTTTTTTTTTTTTTTTTTGAGACAAGATTTTGCTATGCAGTTCGGGCTGGCCTTGTGCTCACTTTGTAGCACAGGCTGGTCTTAAACTTGCAATAATCCTTCCAAGTGCTGGGATTATAGGTGTTCACCACCATGTCTGGCTTCTGTTTGGCTTTTCCTTCTAGCCTTTTCAATTTGACCAATTTCTCTTCTGTTCCATCTTTGCAGACCACAACTTTACTCCCTTTCTGGCCAACTCACAATGTTTTGAATCATTCTGTTGTGCTCTTTGCTCTTGATTCTCAACATAAATCTGGCTAAAAGCCCCCATAGCTATGCCATCACCTCAACATTAGACTGCCTTGAAATTTCTTCTGCAAGATTAATTAGTCTGCCGCCCTTAATCTTAGTCTCAGGCAAAGTCTCTGGACATGAGCAAAATGCAGACAAACTTTCTGCCAAGATATAACATACATCATCTGGAATCCAATAGCCAATGCAGTCCTTCTTTCCAGCAAATCTGCCTGAGCCCACTCTTTACTGGCAGAGTTTCTATCAGCATTTTGGTCTTCTGAGCTCTGACTGGAATTTCCCATCAAGTACAGCTCTACTTTTTCAGCCAGCATCTCTGAACCTTTCCTAACTCTTCCCCTTCTTAGAAGCCAGTTCCAAAGGCTCTTGAGCCACATGGTCAGGTAATGTCACAGCAAAGACTCAGTTCTCTGGTACCAAATTCTGTCTCAGTCAGTGTTTACTAGAGAAACAGGTATAACACAAGATATACAAGTTAGGTTTTGGCGCTATTGAGGGATGTTGATGGAGATGAAAACAAGCCTTTGTTGCTGGCATGGGAGGGTTTCAGGAGATTGCAAGGACCCTCAGAGGAGGGAGCTGGAGAACGGTTTTCATTAGGTCAGACTAGGGGTGGAGTTAATATGAGCAGGTGATGTGTCCTGTTGGGAGGGGATTGGAGGGTTGTTGGGACTAGAGGAAGAACAAGGAAGTTAAGCTTGAAGGGACACATTGTCACTTTTGGGATCAAACACCATGTTGGATCGCCACTATGACGGCCCTGGCAGAGTTTCACATGGGCAGAAACCCATCAATACAAAATGTGTGAATTCACAAGATTGGCTTACAATAGCCAGCCACAGAGTCAAATGAAGCCTGAAGCTCACTGCAGTGCCCCATGTGAGTCCATATCAGGAGGCCAATGGGTCTGTGATGGAAGCTGAAGGATCTGCACTGGAAGCCAGAAGATGATGATCAAGGTAAAGGCGAAGACTGGAGCTCATCCAGAGAAACACATGTAGATCCATCCTTCATTCTCATTTATTGATTGATTGATTGATTACCTTTTTGAGACAGGGTCTTGCTATGCAGTTCAGGTTGGTCTCAAACTTGCAATGATCCTCCTGCCTCAGCCTCCCGAGTTCTGGGATTACAGGTATGCACCACCATTCCCAGCATTTATTCCCCTTTATATCATCCAGGTGACAAGCCAGTTTAGGGTGGATCTTCTACACCCTAGAGTGTGGAATTGCTGAGCCAGGTTAGTTAAACTTCTCTTACTCAAGTTGGTACAATCAATCAACCATCAAAGCTGGGGTGTGGGCAGTGGCAGTAAAGGTGTCAGATGGGGCCCGGAGTAGGTAAAAATGGTGGTGACCTGGAAAAATTAAATGTGCGCAGGCCTGGTCAGGATTTAACTCCCGCATCATAGGCTTCTCAGAGGCTGCCAACATATTCATAGAGGAAAGAAGGTACCCAGCAATGGAGAACAGAGGTGGGGCCCCCACTTGGGGAGCAGCACTTTGAAATATGAAGTGTGCAACTTGTGGAACCAGGAGGCTCTTGTAGGGATGAGATGAGGGTGAGAGGCTGTGTGATTCTGTGGGTTGGGGCTGCCATCAGAGAAATGTTGTTTGGTTGCTATTGCTGTGGTCAATTGTACTCCTAAGATTCTGACCTATGAAGTCATAAATACCTTTAAATGTACCTTATTATCTCTAAACCAAAATAGTTCGATCACTTTTCTTCCTGTTTTCCAGAACACTACTGAACTCTCCACCTGGACCTCTTCTTTCTTCTGGCCAAGGCTCCTTAGTGCTAAAAACAGAAAAGACTGACAAAAGAACAAGATTCAAGAGAGTCCTATTCTTTGCGCTGACCCTTCTGAGGAAGGAGGGGAGAGAACAACTGTTAAGTTCTACAATGCTTTAAGCCTTGTGCTTTGCTCATTCAACTTTCATCTCTTGCATAGTCTCTATGAGCCAGGTACTTTATATATCTTTACTTTTAATCCTTATAACAATCTTATATAGTGCATGTGGTTCACAGAATTATTTCAGAATCATCCCCCAAAGGTATTCACATCCCAAGCCTCAGATTCTGTGAGTAAATTACTTTACATGGCAAATGCAATTTTACAGATGTGGTTAAATTAGGGAACTCAAGATGGGAAGATACCCTGTATCATCCTGGTGGGCCCAATGCAATTACAAGGACACTTATCAATGAAAGTAGGAGGCAGATCAGTCACAACGAGAGAAGGAACTTGAACAACAGATGCCTGGTCAATATAATGGGATGTAAAAAAGAATTGACCTGCCATTACCACCTTTGAAGACAGAAGGAAGCCACAGAATCTGCATGACCTCTACAAGCTGGAAAAGCCAAGGAAACAGAAAGAATGCAGCCTAGGTGCCATTTTGAATTTAGCCCCATGGGACCCTTTTCAGACTTCTGGCCTTTAGAACTCTAAAACAATACATTTGTTTGACTCTACCACGGCTGTAATTTGTTAGAGTAACAATAAAGGCTTAATACAGTAGGTATCTTTGTCTCCATTTTACAGGCAAGAAATCGAACTAGCTAGTTTTTTGTAAGCCAGGATTCAAATGCAATTTTCTGTGACTTCAAAGCCCATACTTTTCTCTGCACTCCATTTCTGCCCCTTTTAAATTTTTATAACTAATGTCCTTACTGAAATCATTAAATATTTAATTGGCACAACAGCTACTTTAGAAAGAATCACTAATGGTATACTTCTGAGTATCTCTTCTTGCCACAAGTAATTTGTTTTGAAAAAGGAAAGTATCAGTTGAATCTTACCTGGAGAGTTATAAAAAAGAAAACCAGAATATCCAAATGTCCTTATAGAATCACTTTAATCTAAGGAGGCTAATAAAATCATTTCTTCTCAGTTTATTATTCATTTGGTTGGATTTATAAATTATCTGTAAATTATGTGTATGCACTTGATAAAACACCAATCATGGAAAGACACACAAATTCATTAATCACTAGGGAAGTACAAAGTACAACCACAACAAAATAGCACTTTATACCAACTGAAATGGTTAAAATTAGAAAGACCAAGTATAAATTGTTGGTGAAGATGTGTGGAGAAACTGGAATTCTCATGAATTGCTGGTGGGATGTAAAAGAACACAGCTGCTTTGAAAAACTAGTTTTCAGTTTCTTAAAAAAATTAAAAATACACCTACCATATTACCCTCAAATCCACTCACAGATATTTACCCAAGAGAAATGAAGTATGTTTCCATAAAGCAATCTATACAACAATAGTAATAACCAAATCAGAAAAACCTGGATGTTTATCAACAGGTAAATTGATACAATCCATACAGTGGAATACTACTCAGCAACAGAAAGGAACTAATTTACAAAAAAAAGACAGATAAACTACTGATAGATTCAATAACACAGATAAATCTCAAAGTCATTTTGTTGAGGGAAAGAAAGCAACACTTGACAGCTTGCATACTGTATGATTCCATTTCTACTACATTGGGAAAAACTCATTTAAAGTGGTAGAAAGCATGTCAATTGTTGTCCTCGCTTAGGCAGGGAAGTGGGAATGAATGGAAAGGAGCTGTGAGGGAATTTTCTAAGGTGATATCTCTGTCTTTATTAAGGTAATAGTCACGTAAGTATATACTTTTGTGAAACCTCATCAAATCCTTCACTTAGATGTCTGCATAAAATTTACTTCTGAAGTTTTGAATAAAGAGCTAGTAGTTGAAGAGGGGGGAAGGATAGCTTATTAGGGTCTTTCAGATAATCAATGCGCATCAAATTAGGACTTTTTTCAGCACCAGAATCAAACCCAGGGCCTCACACATGCTAAGTGGTCAGTCTCAAATTAGGATTTTCATTAAGCAGGTGAGCAGCGTGGTATAGAGAGCCAGGTGGTGAGCCAGGGGCTTTCTTCCTTTACAAACTTCCCAATACTCACAACCTCACAGGATTTGCTTCATCCTGTGAATGAAGGTCATGGGGTCCCCAACAAGAAGATAAATGTGCTGCATTAGATGCCTTCAAAGTTTCCTTCCTGCTCTAAAATTCCATTATCAGCCACATAAGTGGTAAATCAAATAATGTTAGAAGTTCCTAGTTGATACAGCATGGTTTTTCCAACACATATTGATTTTAATCTATAATTCAATTTACACTGGTCCCTGGTGAGCAACATAATTCTCAAAGATTATATCTTCCTATAGGAAACTTGGATCCTTTTTATCAGATAGTTTCTAGGAATACATTGTAGAGAAACGCAAGTACATGCTGCATAAATTCAAATTGCAGACATTTTCCATATTCAGATGGAGCAGATATGTGTGTATTCACAGAGATATGGGAGTTCCTAAGAACATGATCTTTATCAATCTTGGGGGAAAAGGGCAATGTAACACGACACAAATGCCACTGGTCATATAGACCATGACCTCGGACAAACCACTGATATGATCAGATAGCACATCTGTCTGTCTGCATGGTCAGCTTTCCCAGGGTTGTTTAAAGGCAAAATGAGATCTTGTCAAACAGGCAAAATTATGTTTTAACTTGCAGAATGTCATACGAACATACAGTGGTTTGTTCTTAGTGAGAGACAGATGTCTAGGAGGGAACCAGCCTACAAACAAGAGTTGGGGACTCATCAGTACCAATATCTGGAGAGAGAAGCCCCTTTGTGAATGACCCTGGTGGCTGAAAGATACAAGAGATGATGAGACAGAGCATGACTTTTTGGAGACAGCTATATAATAATGTTTTAGAAGAATTTTCTGGGTTACTACGAACTCTTCCACATTTCTGCTGCTTCCTATAGTCTCTCAGCTCAGCTCCCACAAGCGAAGTGACTGACCTTTGGTTTACCAGGCCAGGTTGGAAAGGACTCAAGACAGCTCCAATGCCAGTGAGGGAAAAACCACAGAAAGTGCCTGGGGAAATTGATTGTGAAAGATTAGGGGGTTAGGATTGAGAGAGAGGTGACCTGAAGGAAGCTTTAGACTGAATGGGAAGGAAGGTGAGGGGAACCTGGGAGACCAGAGGAGAAGGAAGAGATTGGGTCTGGCGGTCTTCCACAGAGCACAAACTTTCCAAGAACTGTGGCTATCTGAAGCTGCCATTTCTGCACTGCTGTCTACACTCCCAGACTAAAACAGTGTGAGCCATACAGGAGGTGCTTAATAAATGCCAGTTAAATCCTTTGAACAAATGCGTAGAGAAAGTCACAAAAGGAGCTTCAGCAGCGCCCTCCATCCCTAACGTGCCCGGGGGAGAAGTGTCTTGACCCATGTCTCTGTACTTGGAGTTGGGGACAGAGAAGGATTCAGCAAGCCATCACCCAGATATCTAACAGTTCCAACTTTGCAACACGAATATCTTTTTTAATTACCCTAAACCAGGAAGCAAACCCTGTCCTTTCCTTTCCTCTGCATTCAAGGAAGGAGCCCCATCAGCTCCTTTAAAATCCTTTGAATCTCTCTAACGTTTCTGTCATTCTTACTCCGACTCCCACCATCCCCCACTGGACCACAGCAGTGGTTTCCTAACTGGTGTCCTGACTCTCTCTTTCTCCCTCCCTCTCTCTCACTCTTTCTCTGAAACACAAGTAGCTAGAAATAGTATATAATCTTACTATAATTAATATTTATATAATCTCTACATGTGAAATATCACTTATGTAAAATGTTTTACATATTCACATATAGAGTCACTCTTCTGCTTGAAACCACCCAGTTGCTTTCAGTGACACATAAAACAGGCTCTGCCGCCCTAAGAGCTCAGTTTCTCATATAATTAAATACATAGGTGCTTGAATTTGTACACTTCCGTGTCTGTGAATTTGACTAATGTGAATCTGTCCCCAAAAGATAGATTTTTCTCTTAGTGCACTAACCTGTTAGGTATCTGAGCCTACAGACCCAAGAGTTTCATATTTGAGGGCCACTACCTGAGAAATGCCATCACACAAAACCTTACCTGGGTGCGCACATGACCTTCACGACCCTACCATGAGTTTTCTGACTGCTTTGTGGAACTCTTCAAGAAACAAGCAGAGAAGACAGTCTCATAGAAAAGTCTCTGTAAGCAAAGGCTGCATGAGTATTCAAGGAGATTCTTTCATCTGCAGTTTTCGTACTTTGTGGAATCTTTTACTTCCATCCCACTGCTATCACCACATGGTGGCCTCCTTTGTCCTGCTCCCTTCTCAGAGTAACTGAGAGAGTTGACAGGTCAGGAGAGCAAGAAGAGTGAGCTAGCAGCTCCTGCGTTCTTTGTTCTGCGTCAGGAATTTAAATGGGATTAGATTCCTTTACAGGTTTACAGGAATAGGGTGAGGAGCGTTGATGAGATTCCCCCCAGGCCCCACCCAACAGTGCCTTCCCAGGAAACAGAATGGCTAGCTGTTAGCTTTTTCCTCCCTCCAAGGCATGTATTTTGGATCTTAAGAATTCCACTGAAAGCAGCTCAGTGGTGATTTTCCTAAGCCTCAAAAGCCTTTCACCTCAGCATGCTCTGCCTCTGCTAGGGAGAGCGAGCACATCAACCAACAAAATGTTGATGTGCCTTACTATCTCTTGGCTTTCAGACCTGTTCTCCTACCACAAGTTTCCACTACTAAGTTCACAGTGGGCTTTCATTCTGTACAGGTCTGAGCTTTTGGAGAAGGAATTTTCTTTCAAACTGTTTTTAATATTTTGTTTCTTTTGTGCCATTTGACATCTACTGTCACCAACCAGTGGGATTCGAGTTGACATTAACAGTATAAGTACAGTGAGTGCAGGGTCTATTTAAATGGTGTTAAGAGCCCACCACATGACTGCTAGGTACTGAGGAGGGAGGGGACATAGTCTCTTAGGGAACTCACAGTCCTTCAGGAAATAAAAATGTATCCTATCTCCAAATCTTCTAATGTTGTGGACTCACCGTGCCTCCAGTATCTGAATAAAAATGGCTCACAAAAGAGGACATATAAACAGTTCTTTCCCTAATGGTGTTCAGGAACGGATTTAAAACATTTTGTCCTTTTCAATACACCAATAAATAATAGAATAGGCTGTGTTTGGTGCTGCTATATAGAAAAAAATAGAGAAAGAAGTACATTGTGGTTGGGTATGGAGAAGGTTCACAAAGGAGCTTTGGCTAAGCTGGCTCTGGTAAGTGACTTAAAATCTACCCTGGGGCTAATGGGATTCCAAGCAGTGAACTTGGAACCTGAATGAAGCAAAGGTTTGAAAGGGCAAAGAATGTGTAAGTGCTTCTGATGTAAGCACATAAGTGCAGATGTTGATGATAAAGTTCATGTATTTTTTAAATCATAATGAACAAGTGACTTTTATGAATGAAAAGTTTTGTGTGAAAGACACAGAGTGTTGCCATGGCATTAAGGCGCAGATAAGAGGGATAAAATTCAGAGCATTTGGTTGCTGATGGGATCCGAAAAACAAGAGGAAGAGAAGATTCAAGAATTTCATTATGGAAAATAGGGTGGCATTTCCTCAAAACATCAAAAATAGAATTACCACAGATCTTCAATCCCACTTCTGGGTATACATCCAAAAGAAATGGAAGCAGGGTTCTCAAAAAGATATCTGCACTGTCATGTTCACTGTGGCACTATTTATAACAGTCAAGAGGTAGAAGCAACCCAAAATCTATGCATGCATGGATAAAGAAGGGTGGTTTATCCATGTAATGGAATATTATTCACTCTTAAAAAAGAAATATACTACAACATGGATGAACTTGGAGATACTAGACTAAGTATGTCTAGTCACAGAAAGACAAATACTGTATGATTGCACTTTATATGAAGAATTTAAAGTAGTAAATTCACGGAGTCAGAAAGTAGAACAGGGTTATGAGGGGCTGAGGGGTGGAGGAAATGGGGAGTTA